CTTCTTCCGGCGATTTGGCGGGCACACCTTCTCCCACCAGTTCACATTCACCGCCCTTGGACTCGTATCTCCGGCGGCGAATGCACCTCCGGCTGTGGGGCCCGAGACGAACACTGTGAGCGGTATCCTCGCTGATCGCCAACTTCGTCCCTCGAGCACCGCGTTGGACTTGGCTTCCGCGTCCCATGTGTATGGTTGAAAGACATATGCTCGCCGAGATTGATAAGATAGATGTGACAGGAGTAATCTTAAGAAGGCGGTATCCGGGTCAGTCTCGGTTCGAAAATGGCTGGAAATTCCCCCGACGCACATCTCTTGGAGTTGATTATTCAATCCATAGCCCCATTGCTGATTCGAGAACATCAGATACCGCCTATTATTCCAAGAAATGAATGGAGAAAAAAGTCAGCACGTAGGGTACGTCAAAAATTCGGGCTCCGGGCTGCGCACCCATTGGGACCCTCGGGGTAGGCGAGCGAAGTGTTGTGCTGCGGGAGATGGTCCTCCCAAGCCACGTACTCGTCATACTCTGGCACATCTGGGAATCCATGGAAGAACTCCTCGACGGCATCGAAACGAAATATGAAGTGGTAAATCAGGAAACCAGCGGTGAGTGCGACGGCGGGCAAGAATACAAGCGCCGCGACGGAAACGGTTGATGACTGGGTGTGTACCCGAACCCGAACCCGTGGTTGATGAGCGGCAGATGAGGACTGTCGGCGGCGCTTGGTACTGGAGGATGAAGAGGTTGCAGTGGGATTGCATGTAGGGAGCTCTGGTGTAGGTGGCGCATCGACTAGCTCATAAGTGTTGGACGAAAAGGCGTAGGCGGCGAGTATCCGCGGCAACCGCATCAAGTTGATTCCTCGGTAGAGGAGATTGGGAGCGAGCGCGTCGACGATTGAAGTGGAACGAGTGCGAGGTGCGAGGGGAGGTCCTGCCCGCCCGCGAAAACGTCGTTGAAAGGGGGCGTGGTGCTGTGAAAGCGTGTAATCCCAGTCTGGATCGAAATATGCAGCAAGCCCCGCAGTTGTTTGGATCGGACACTGCCCGGATGTGCCAGCTGCACAAGAACGAAAGGACTGGTGCTGAACGAGTGTCGCCGAGGGCCGTATGAACGAAATGAGAGAATCAAAATCAAGACGAGGTTGTGATGAAAGCGGATCGGTCTCGGAGGCCGACTCCCTTTTCTTCCCTGGCTTTTAGACGTTTTTCATACACCCCTCTACCATGGCGCTGTGCTGCTGCGGCCGCCGCCGGATGACGCGAGGATAGTTGCCCTTTAGATGAAAGGCTGCATTCCACCTTGACAACCTTGCAATTGACACGCTACTTCGATAACGCTTCGTTGTGTTGAGCAATCAACCACGCGATAGCCTTTGATATCCGCCGATGTTGTTCCTTTGTCGTAAGCCAGGCCAGTGGGACCTTCAATGCTTTCTTTGTTAATAGACTCTATTGGAATCGGTCGAACGTCTGATCATTAACGGAACTCCTGAGGGGATCGTCCTGCTGCAATTTTAAAAAGCTGGGTTTGACATCATCGAGGACGTATTCGCCCGCTCCTATGGTCTACTGGTGTCGTCTGGGATAAATTTTGCAATTCGGAGCTGCCATGACATGGGTGACTCGATTGAATACGGCCAAACTTGTGTCAGCAGCAACGGAACAATCAATCTCATTATGGGCATTGCAATCTCCATGTCTACGTTTGGACTAAGAGATTCCGAGTTCGAAGTCCTATTTCAATCTGGGACCTAAGAAACTCAATGACTTGCTGTTGGCGACACTAGATGCTTCTGCGACTCTAAGCTTGGAATCCTCTGCGACCTTGATAACGGACAGTGCGTCTGAGCGAGTGAAGAGCCCTCGATTGCACAAGTGGTTCCGAGGCTGACCAATCCCAGAAGGTCATACATGAGGACGAATTCCGGCGGCGTGGCGGATGTAAGTGATGCGGCACCAGTCATGACGACGAGCGCGGTGACTGCCGTTGGTGGTGACAGGCCACATACACGAGATACCTTGGCGGGAGTAGACGATGACGAAGAGATGGTGAGCAATTAGTCGGAAAGTCACGAAACCTAAACCTAGCTTATGATCTTTTATCGTCCAGGTGGATGCACGTCCTGACGAGATCTGTGTTTGGCGTTTCTTTTCTGGGCATACTTACCTTTGATGGTAGATGAATGCTACGTTATCATTATCATCTGCCGGTCACCGCGACTGCTCTCGTTCAATCGCTCTCGCACATTCTGTGGCCGGATCGCCTTCCAACATTATCAGCAAAGCACAGCTGGATCAAGAACATACTCACTCTCGACGAGTGTCCTCCTTGCGTGCGAAGTGGTGGGGAAACGTCCGATCTTGTTGAGGTCACTGACGGACAATTACTACATACTTATCTACTTTTGAGTGAAGAAAAGAAAAAGAAACATACATACCTCTCTCGATTTCACCCCCTACATTGTTGGCTATTGATCTCGATCTTTGCGTGTCCCCTCTCCCCCTCGGTAAATGTACCATGACCCGCCAATATAGGTATCATTCGCGGCCGATTCCAGCCCAACCTCTGTCCTTTAATCACTTTACCTTCATCGTAACCCGCACTCTCAGCTGATCCTGGTCTTGCTTTCCTGTGTTCTTCTTTCGACTTTCTTACCTCAGCTTTGTTTTGGTTCCTTGTCATCCTTGCTACCACTACCTCTGGATTCTTCACAGCAGACGCGATGGACCTCTCCATCTCATTCCCTCCACCGTTTAACCCCGGCTTCGCCACCATCAATTCTCGTCGTTCACGTTCAACGTCCCCCCTTATTTTCTATTTCCTGCTGCTGTTTGTCTAGTCAAGTCGTTGTATTTTCTACTGTTTCTCTTGTTCTCTCTCTGCGCGTCTCGAGTCTCCTTCGTGTCTAGCTTGTGAAAACCATGGCGATCACGTTTCTTTTCTCTTTTGATACAACAACTCGCAGCTGTCATTGAAGTGGATGCGTCGCCTGATAATAGAGACCCCAAGCATATTGAACGCAGGGCAATGCGGCTGTGACCTCGTGTTTGTCTGGTTGTAAAGCCACCCATGCACCCCCCACGCCACGGCCACCACCATTAGCAAAAATCTTACCAATTATCTGCAATCTCAATTACAAATTGCTCACTACGAGGTATTAATTAGCGCTCAGGAGGCAATGGTTGGGTCGTTGGATCGTCGACATTTCAGCGTTCCCTCAACCTCAAGGCCCCCGCGTTGGCATGGTTGCTCCGCTGAAATAACTCCAAAACACGTCGAACACTGCTTCATCCACAGTTTGCAATTTGCCTTGTCTTAGATGCGCGCTTTGGCAGTGCCGTGGGGTTTGGTTAGGGCGGTCGTTACCACCACAGGCGGGAATAACGAAGCTCGCGACTCGTCTCAAACCAGAGGATCACAAGGCTCTGTGGTGACTCTACAGCCAGCGCTTGGCTCGGACCAAATCTTCAGAGACATTCCTTCGAAATACCGGGGTCTTGACATAGTAGATCTCTCCAAGGCCGAAATGCCGAACAGCTCAACGTGCTGCCTGCTCGTGTCCAAGCCTCAAACACGTCTCTGACTCTATGGGCTCAAGATTTCGAGAAGGCATAGCCATTTCCGTGGAAATTTTTTCTAATCATACGCTTTCCATTCAACTTTCCAAAGTCTGGCGATGCCGATGGTCGTCGCTTCCAGGGGGCAAGGGGGGCTATGGCGTCTTCTTCTACGTACTCGCTTCCCGCTTTATAAGTGAAGCACAAGAGAGACTAACACTGCGACGATGGAACGATGAGCTCCCCTTCAATTTCGTCCCCTGCAGCATCCTCAGCTCCTCCAAACGATCCTCCTCAAAATGGGCCCGCGGCACGACTACGATACGATACCTGAATTCCAGAAATCGTCACGAACCAGTGCTGTTCGGCCCAGATATTTACCGGGACTTACCCAGATTGGCGGGCCAGGCATTAACCCTTCAATAACTCCAGCACATGGATCTAGTTGCCACCCGGGTGGAGCTCGACAACCGCAACTTGAGTCATTTGGGAAGCGAATAGCTCATGTCGCATCCCCGTGTATTTTCACTGAGTTTTATTCCAGGTCACCGGTCTTTTTCAGCTACGGAGTACAGTATGGATGTATCACCACCCGGCGCTAGTGATTAGTATAAGACCCGGCTTCAATCGTCGAGATTTTGGTCCACATCAACACTTCCCTACTCAAGAACTCTAATTAATATCCAGCTCAAGAAATCCCCAGTCCCTATCCCGATTCCTCCCAACCCAAACTTCAACCCAACATGTCCACCCCGTCCACCGAACTCCAAGGGATGGTACCTGGGAAGCGATACAACGTGCATCTTAACAACAAGATGCAAAGCGAACAGATCGCGTTCACAATCGTCAATGTACCAAGTGGCGACAGACATCGGGAAGTGTGGACGTGTACCGTCCAAGTCCAAACACTCAATGGCGCACAGTTGGCGAAACCACTCCTCCGAACTGGTGAAGGGATGACAAAAGGCCAGGCGCTGAACGTAGCGAGTTTCTTGGTACTCCAGGCGATCGGCGACGCATAATGGGGGTGCGTATCAGAGAACCTTCACGCTCTGGATGTCCCGTTTTCGCATCGTCTCCCCTCACTTGCATCGGTCCTCTTTGTATCACGTTATCGCATGACACCCAATCGCGTCGAATCACTCCCAGCATCTCTCTACTTAATATTCTGCACATCTCATTGCATGTCCATTGTCTACACCCCCATCCCACATCGTCACGTTCACGTCATGTTGTGATGATAGAACCTAGATCCTGGCCAATACCAAAGAGGGTTGGAGTCGTATCCGAATCACTGATGTTTGCTTTGGCCTGCGATGGAACAGACGAACATAACAGGTTTGGAGAAAAGAACATAATCCGAGCTGACATGACGCGTCAACTAAAATGATGGCCCTAGCCGACACCAAAAGGATACAAAAGGTGAGGATTCCTCTAGCCTAACGTGGGGGTCGAACCCACAACCTTCAGATATCAAATGACATGACTCTTGATAAGAGTCTGACGCTCTACCGATTGAGCTAGCCAGGCAGGCTGAGAGCGTCGCCTACCACATCAGATTTGATCAGCAATCTAATCTTCTTCATGCCCAATTGCCTTACCATTCACTCCGTTGAGTCGGGTGTCTATAACGTACAGAGAGGGCAGGTGCGATCGGAGGCGAACACAGGCGGGTAAAGTCGTACTGGACAATGAGGTAATCCTTGCCATGATAAACAGAAACTTTGGCATAACAATGAACCAATAGATATGAATCCAGAGCAGGTAGAGATTGGTGGCAAGGGCTCGATTCTTGGATGATACTTTAATTCGTGATAGCGCAGATGGAATGTGAGCATCCAATAGGAACGCCGGTGAAGATAGGTGACAGTGAACCAGCAGGGGTGCCATTGAGCAACAGCCTCTAGCGTCATAGAGATGGCAGCCGTGTCTGCGGAATCAGGCTGAAGGTTGTACAAGCACTCAGAGCTGCAAGCACTTCCAATAATGTTTTGATATGCATGCAAGGGTTCCCCATCAAACTTGCTCCAGCGACGAGGTGTTACACTGATCGCGAAGCCACTGATCCAGGCGCAGATTGGGGAGATGGCTTTGCTCAGCCAGTGTTCGATTGGAGTGCCTAGCTCAGTGGCTGTCACTGAACGAAGATTCCGTGTCCACACTGCTGCCTATTCCTCTCTCAGACAGGGGTCCCCGCGAGAAATCACTGGCAAGCAGAAGCATTAAAATGGTAGTTGGAAGCGAGATGGATCTGCAACATCGCTGTGCAGACTTGTAGAACGTTAAGTTGGACTCAATTGCGCTTCAGGATTTTATGAGCATAAGCGCGTCATTGATAAATTACTCGACTCCACAATGAGAGAGAGAGATCTCGAGCAGAAAATGATTGAGCAGCGTACGTAGTGAACGACATCTCGCGGTGCGGTGACAATAATCTCCAGCACGACCTTTCTAGCTCTGGCATCCTTTGGCTTTGGCTACTTTAACCGGCCTGGCCTTGACATTTCAGTCGGTCACTATGGAATGTCAATAGCGAGACTCTCGACACCTAGGATGTCGAGCTTGTGGTTATGGGTAGTGCTCTATTTTCATCATCGTCAGTCTTCGAAGGATGATCGCGAGTCGCACGAGATTTCTTCTATTGAGACATCCTGCTTTCTTCAAAAGGTGTAGGTGAAGGGACTCGAGCGCGCTGTGAGCCCCCGACAACATAATTGACATACTTTAATCATGTTTTTTGCGAGGCTTAATCATGCGTACCGCACCGACTTTAGCTGTAAAAAAAACCCAAAGCTCAGGACCGGGAGATGTCGACGACCATGAACTGCACAAAAATGGCATAGCGGCTGTCATCGAACTAACATTCTGTGTTAATAAGACTCATAGGATAGCGTTTGACGCATGCAGTTCCGAGACATGTGTGATCAACGGTCTAACAGGTGAGAGTGAGGAGATAGGTAAGTACCAGTAACCAAAAATGTTTTAGCAACACGCGCCTTGGATTGGAAAGGCGTTGTCCACATCATGGTCTGCCCAAAATCCTTCACTCCGAGCCAACTCGAAAAGTTTTGGCCATCTCTTGTGAACCTGGTTTGCTGACCACCCCGACTTCCGGAATTTTCCAATCTTGAAGGGGCAGTCATGACCAACGTCCCAGAGCTGAAGAAGACCAGTATCGCCAATATAAGGGAGGAAGTATACATCTTCCTGGCCGGGTGATGCGACGAGGGTGAAAGCAAACCTCTGAGAGTGGCTTTCTCCATTAGAAAGGATGCGGAGCATTATTCCGTACCGTTGGTGTAATGGATTGAGAGTCTTTTGCCGGATACCCTGGATGAAGAAGCCACTTTCACGAAGTCGTTCAAGGTGCAGTGAGTGCAATACGGTGGCTATAAAAAGTAAAATATTTAGTGGAAAGGAAGGGGTTGATTATCGGTTCGTCTTACATGGAATTGAATCGATCAATCCCTCGTAGCGTGCGAGATGAAGCAAAGGTCTGAGGGTCGAAGCACGTGTCAGAAGCTGGAAAGGTTTCATGTACGGGTAATCGCCGCCATCCCGCTTTTGGAATTTGAGGGATCGAGACACGGGATCGAAATACGGCCGTAGCCATAGTTCAGTTGGTATGTGTGCTTCTTTTCGTGGTGCGATGACTATTGCAGCTTTCCCTTGATCCTCGCCATCGATCAAGACATGTCGACTCATTCGATATGTCGCCCCCGGTCCACATGGAATGCAACGGATCAGGTCGGTCTCTACTGGGCGAGCGATATGTTTTAGCGAAGAGATGTATGGGAGTACTGCGAAAGGCACAACATACGTGTCAGTGGGATAAACTTTCAAATAAATAAAAGCACCGCACCTCCAGTGGTTCTGGGCCTGGTGGGAGTGTCAAATTTCCATTGGTCATAAGTGCCACGGTATCCATTTTGAACCTTGGCTAGCTCGTATGAGGCCTTTGAATAGAAAGGTCTCTCGAATCCTCGTTTTATATTCTGTGGCGACCGGTGATCGCTTTTGGAATTTGAAGCCAGGATTCCATCAGTCGAAACATTTTCTGTCGGTAGTACACCTTGACTAGCATGAATATAGCGAGGTAGTGGAAAGCGTCCACAGCTACCGAATATGCTCTACATAACGTCAGCTCTAAATAGCTATCATGTCTTAACGCTGAAGGACGACATACTATCGTAGGGGCACGGCGTATCATCAGGAGGAGAGGTGGTTGGTGCCCTGGAACGAACGTGGATCGCAATTATTCGCCTCCGAGCCACAAATTGAGAGTAAAAGCAGTCTTCTGATACAGATTTACCGGTAGTTCAAATGGTCAAAAACCTTCCGTAGTATTGCGGATGGAAGATGCTCAAAGGAGGAGTAGCGAGAGGAGGCGATCAAAGAGCGGCGAAATTCAACAAGGCTGAGAAGGGCCAACTGTGGGAATGGACCCTTTGAACCTTGGTCGTAGCATGAGCCAACGAAAACTTTTCAAGAGATTTGCGAGTATAGCATCGTACGCAGGTTCTTGTTGAGACGAGCAGAAAGTGAGAGTACTCGGTATTAAGGATATCCCGCCAAAAGATGCCCCCCCCCACCCCCTGCGCTCACCACGTCAACAAGTTTGCTAATAGACTCAATACTTCCGCCCAGTTATCAAATTGTCCATACAATAGGTGTCCATATGTGAACCACCTATTATCCGCACCCACTAACACATCCTCGCGAGTGACTCCGTAGCATGTCCCTGTGGCGATTGCATAACGCTCACATTGAACAGCATGCGAGCGATATGAGAATTCCGAGGCTATTGATTCTGGAACACGCTGTTTCGACGTTGGCAGGAAGAACACCATGAGGCATCCCATGAAGTCAAATGAAAGACGCCGTGCCACTCCCATCGGTGACTGAGAGGTAACCGCACAAGCTCCGAAAATCGAGCTCCTTTATTGTTCCGCCGTGATGGGGATGTCCGTAAGTAGATCGTGGATGAAAGAGTTGGGTTTGGGGCCAGATACTGAAGGGCATGCAGAAGGCCACGTGTCGAGAGACGGGCGGTAGGCTTGTTACGATACAGATTAATGACGCAAAGCTTGAGTACCTACATGAGTAAGAAGCAGCCAATGGTGGAAAGTCGGGAGATGGTGTTGGAATGTAGAACGAAAGATTGTGAGAAACTGTTGCAGGCAGATCAGATCAGATGCCATCGATAGCAAGACAAAACGTGATTCACTAAATAATGTTTTGGTGCGTTAGCAAGATCGTACTGAGTGTACAGATCCCGAGGAGAAGATCAATCGATGGGAGAGCCATCAAAACCCCTATTACGAAAGAAGGGTATGAGATATTCTCGCGCAAAAGGCCCCAGATTGTGAGCGTTACAATGCTCTTTGAAGATAAGACAATATTGAATGTGAAAAATTTTCTCGTAGTCGTCGAACCAGCCAAAGTCTCAGCCGCTCAAACCTCCCAAAAACGAAGTATTTAAAGTAGCCTCCACATACAGCACACAAATCCCGGGAGCCAAGATCGAAGGTTGAGTGACAGGTTGCAAAATAGAAAGACATCAATACAATTTGCTCTATAGATCCTCCGAAAGTCAAGTACCTCTGGCGGACGTGTACTCACCGTGGCTATGGTCCATGATCCATCGACGAGAGCGACTGAATGGAGACTCTGCATGAGGTACTCTATGCCCTCTACGGTTTTAAGCATCTTGACTTGCCATTCCGAAGTACGGAGCTCGGGACACGTCCCCGCTATTGTCCGAATAGCACGTAATGGATCCATCATGTTAGCTCTGGCCCAGCCTACAATCCGGAGATCCTGGAGGTGCTTGAGACCGTGAATAGACGTGAACTAGCAGGTTTGGGTGATTGAGCACGTCACGCAGTAACAACAAGTAATCGGTGACACTACGCACGTTGACTCTGGTCAATGGATCGCAGTGAACATTCATTTTGAGCGCGAGAATGTTGGGAGAGTGATTTCTAAGGAGGTCGAAGAGCGCCTGGATATCGTCCAAATAAACACGGCATTCTAACTCCAAGACCGGTGAGTGTGGAAGGATGATACTCGCGACATGGAAGGGCGCTGACAGGAATTGAAGTGTTGGTATGACGATATGGTCGACTCTCTCTTTGAACCACGCGCTGACTACGCGGAGTTCTTTGAGACTTCGTTGGCCTTCGATCCAATGCTTGAACGCGGGTCCTATGGTCAACTGGTTGAAAGTCGCAAGCTGCACCTCCATAGACGGACAGTCTGAGACAGAGGAGGGGCCATGGACCTTTACATGGGTGACATTCGTGAGATGCGGGACGACAGGGATTGTGTAGTTCTCCTCTGTGAGCGTGTTCCAAAAGAGATCCGAGAAGGATCGAACCAATCGCGCGAGGTTCTTGTTCTCCACCAAGGTTTTGGATAGCTTGGGGGACCTTTGGCGGGCCATTGCAGTCGCAATTTCTAAAGCTCTTTTGTCGGGGTAATCAACTTGATCGAGAGTGAAAGGATCTCGGTAGAGGTACACCACAGCT